ATTCTATCAAGTACCACCATATCCAAATATATATTTTTTATTCCAAGACATACCAGTCATCACATATTCTGGTGCAGCATAGCCATATGTGCCCATTACCCGAGTGGATACGTGAGTTTTATCTCCCTCAGGACCATCTTTGGCTAGTCCAAAATCAGAGAGTTTGGCATTGTAATCCTGAAAGTAATAAATGTTTTAGAAAAAGGAAGTAATTTACATAGTGGACATACCAGGGAATTTTACAGAGTTAGCTGCATACCGCATCCAATAAGATATTAGAAGTTTTAAAATCACGGTATATCACTGGTCGTTCGGCTTCTTCATGAAGGAAGGCAAGACCCTTTGCAGCACCGAGTGCAATTTTCATTCTTATAGACCAAGGAAGAGGCAAGGACCCTTCTGTCACGAAAATGTTTGTTACCAGAAAACATTAGATATCAACCTTGTACACACAAACATCTAAGAGCACAATTATATTTTACAAAACTGACAAGCAAAAACTACTTTACTAATGAAAAGAGAACCAGATAGCGCTACAATAAGGTTTGTCTTAATATAACTTGTAGGACAAACCTCATCTAATGAACTAGAAGAAAAACACTAGGAAAAGAATAAGAAAGAGAAGATTCTGTCAGGTCAGTATTGCCCTTCTGAAATATTGACAATGCAGGCTCATTTAATTGCTAGCATGCAATTTAGGTAAAATATAGTAGAGATTATTCAGCCATCTTAGATGGATTCATGCATTAACATGACGGAGACATCTTTTAGCAAAAGAAATTATTAGATGAAAATCAATTCTTTTGTTACGGATTCTCAATGACAAAAATGTTTGCAGGAAACACAAGTCAAAGCTGCATCAGCATAACCAGAGCAAAAAATGCATTTCTTAAAAATGTAAAATTCTAGTTTCATTGGTTAGAAACATGAAGTTCGTAAACAATATTATTATGATATAACATGCATTTTGGCTAGTTAAAATATACTTGGAGACCAAGTTAATTATCATGTATGATGGAAATTTAACTGACCAGTTTCATACAAATAAAGAAAGTGCATTCAAATATGAAAAAAGTTGCCACATACTTCTAAAGAGGTGGTTCTCCAAACTTCCCCGCGGCATAAACTCATATACCAGCAACCTTTGATCATCCTCAATACAATAACCAACCAATTTAACCAAGTTTGGATGGAGGAGATTACCCAGGTAATCTACTTCAGCCTGAAATGTGGCAGAAAAGATGAAACATTAACTACAATGGAAGCAAAAAAAAAAAAAAAACTGCAAAACCAGTTGTTAAAGACCCTGTAGGACAGACATGAATGTTAAAAGATCTTTCTTTTTCAAAGTTGTTGTCGATCACTCAATTCATAGAACAGATGTGTAATGCCTGCAGGTAATTGAACTAAGCTATTCACAATGGTAAGCAGTATTTTACCTCTGCTTCATTGGCTGTCTAGCATTGTAAACTGAAATCCACTGGGTAGCAGGAACTCCTAGACGGACCTTCTTCCTAGGTTGCCCATCATCTTCTTCAATGTTCAACCTACCTCGCTTTTGGCCAACCTGACAAATAATCTAGCAGGGTCATATCACTTGTAATTATAGTTTCCTGAAAAACATTTCAGAAAGAGAAATATGCTTGATTTCAATGCAAGCACAACTACCTTTTGAGCACCATCAGTGTTTATTGGCCTTAAGGTCGGGTTTGGACCTATCAAGCCATCAAATAATGATATTAGTTTGGCATAGTTCGGCTCCTCATCAAATTTCATGTTTGTCACGATCTCAAGAAATTGCTTAAGAGGTGCAGGACAGAAGCAGCAAAGCACATCAGGAGTTATTGCCATTTTCTTCTTGCAAACTAGGAAGGATTTGTTGTCACCCTAACAAGAAAAGACATGACAAGAGAAGAGGATGTAAGAATAAAGTTTCTATAAAGCATCTCAAAAATAAAAATTATTACTTGTACCTGATAGCCTTGCCATGGTAATCTGCCTCGATGTAAGAATATAAGAGTATATGCAAGAGATTCAAGGTCGTCTCTCCTACTAGCAGTTCTTCCCAAATGAGCATGAACACTTGCATATCGAACAGTTCCTCTGGGAATATAAGACATAAACGGATCAAGAATAGCAACTAGAGACCAATTGCAAATATAAACCCCAACAGCCAAACATCAGCTCACCTAAACATATCAGGACGTTGATCATATTCAACATGCTGTCCGTTGCCAGTGTCCTTCCACTTTGTTGCTGCAATAACGTGAACAAATAACAAAATAAAAGAACCTAACAGGAAAGAAGAACATGAGAGTCCATAGTCTAAATGAAATTTACTTGCCTAATCCAAGGTCAACAAGAAACAGCTTCTTCTCCTGTGGTGTAGAGGGTTGACCAAGTAAAAAATTCTCTGGTTTAACATCTCCATGCACATAACTGAAATCAGTCAACAGAAGGTAAATGTTCAAGGATTCAAAGCCACAAATACAAAATGTACCAAAGAAACTGGGAGTGATTTTATTATTAAAAAAAAAAATGTTTCTTCCACCATAGATTGACAGAACTCTCTAGGATTACATACCCTTTTGAATGCATCTTCTCTAGGATTGATAAAGACTCAACTGCAATGCAAGCTACCATTTCAGCAGACATCCTGTACATCAAATTGTGGAAGAAAAAAATTACATCAAGTACAATATGATCGCATCCAAGATCCACAAACAGAAATTTCCATTTTGACCCAAAAAAAGATCCACAAACAATTTACACAACTTGGAAGATAGAAGTTCATTTTTAAGACCTCATTTTGACCTATCAGGTTTAAAAAACTGACCCTAAGCACCCCCCCACCCCTGGCAGAAGAGAAAACCATCTATTGCTTACTGTGAGGGCTGGGCGAACAATGCAAAAAAGAAAGTTTACAGGCAGAATTCTACCCTTATAAATCCATGAACTGTCAAAATTACTAGGATGGTAGCTGGTAAGTCCCTATAGCATAAGGGAAGCATGTATCTTAAATTTTCTAATACTGATAATGTATCCTGAAAGCACTAAACGTAACTAGCAGGTATCAGAAATTAAATTTTTGTTACTTAACACCATTAATGGTGGAGAAAATGAATAAAATTGTTTATGTTTCTCATATCAGAATAGAGCAGTCCTCTCGCCATAAATTGTTCTAATTCTTGATCCTCTTGTTTCTGTACACACAACAAACCATGAAAGATTAGGACAAAAGCAAGAGCCAGTGCTACTCACGCCTGCCCTTTAGAATTCCAAACATCCCATAAGCTGGGCCCTAGCATGTCCATAACCTGAAAAGTGAAAAATTGGAGTTGAATTCTAGGGTCAGGTTTGGAAAGTAAGAAGAAAATGAGTTCAGACTTTACCATTACATAATAGTCTCCTTGCCTCCCTTTGTAATATACTTTGGGCACTCCATGGCTACCACCAAGAGCGCTATTTGCCAAAAATCAACACACATGATATGAGATATATAGTCATCATTCATGATAGTTTCAAAAAAGACCAACAAAAAGTGGATACCTACTTGTACACTTGCCATTCATATGGAGGACCATAATTACAGCCCTTGCTGTTTCTATGTTCAAATTTCAGTGCAACCTAAATGAAATGCAAGTAGAAGAAAGGGGGGGGAAAAAAAAGAAAAAGATAAGCTTTAGAAATGACAGTAAAATATATCCTCTGGATTCCAGAATCTCAAACTGATTTACCTCCATAGCCCCTGCACCTGTTGCACGATCATTTCCACCGTTAACACGACGACCAACAAAAACCTGCCCAAAGCCACCTTTACCAAGCTTCCTTTCTATCTTATACATAGGTGATCCTCCAACTTGAACCTAGCAAAGGGAGAAAACAAAAGAAGAAACTTTAAGATAAGGTTAAACCGAAGAACAGGTGCCGCAGACTAAAAATATTCAAACTGATTAATGAAGAAATAACAAGCAATATGAAATTGACACTAAGTGCTAGTCTAAATACAATAAACAAACAACCATGCTGATACTTCACAAAAATAAAAGTAAAAATCTTAACACCTACTACAAAAACATTTGAAACAATAACATTCTACCAAAGAACACACCAAACAGCTGCAATTACAACACCAACAATTAAAAAATAGAAGAGGGGGTGAGAGAACAAAAGCATACCCTCTCCGGAAATGGTGCCGTGCTTCCCTCTTCCTCTTGGCCACCAGCCTTGTTAGCACTCAAACCACCACTGTCATCCCCCATTGGAATTTTCTTCTTCTCTTTTTGATCTCTTTTCACCAAAGGCTTGTCGTTATCACTATCTCCCTCAGATATTACAATTACAGGATTCTCTCTGGCAACAACAACCGGCTGATCCTCCTCGTTCTTCTTCAACCTCTGGGTGGCCAACCTCGTCCTAGGTCGAGCCGCAGTTGCAGCACGTGCCTGCCTCTGATTCCTCTGCCGCTTCCCCTGTTGCTGCTCCTGCCCCTCCACTACTGCTACACGGCCTCTGCGAACTCCTTTTCGAAGCTCCGGCATTGCTCAACCCCCATACAAAAACAAATAAAACAAAACCCCAGAAATTGGATCATTTTAGTCCTCCTTCTATGACTCTATCCATGAATGATCAAAATCGGGGGTCTTCCTCAAATAAAAAACCAAAAAAAAAAAACTGAAAAAAAAAAAATTTATCCGAGGGTTCCCGGTTCCGATCGTCGCGGAAATAGGAAATCAGGGCTTAAATGTTGCGAAGAATCAAGGAAAACGGCTCCGGTGCTTGATTAGGGCTCCGATTCGAAGGATTTAAATTAGGGTTTTCTCCATAATTTGGAGAGAAATGGTTAAAATTGGGAAGGGAAGGAGACGCCGACTGATAACTGAAGAAAGCAAATGGAATTGAGGATTTGGGGCTGTGGTGGGGCCCATGTGATTAGTGGGCAAATTACACGGTAAGTTTACTCCACGTCAGCAATTATTTTAATGCTTTTGGGTCCCATTTTGTAATTGTCAAATGCCAAAGTCCCTCAACTTTAAGTTCGTATAATTTTAGTCCTTGAACTTTTTTCCACCTTTTTCTTCCGTTCATCGAAAGATGCTTTTTTTTTTTATCATTTCATCAATTAAATAATGTGTAAATATGCATATTTTTAATCTCTAAATTTATAATGCATGCACATTTATATTTTTTAAACTTATAAATTTAATAACTAAAAATATGCATATATTGACATATTTAATGATTAAACTAATAAATAATAAAAAAAAAGTGCACTTTTAGTTTTAGTTTGGATTGAGAAAGTTGGAGGGAAAGAGAAGAAGAAGAAGAGAGAGATACATCCTTCTCATATTAGGATTACTTACTCTAATGGAGAGAGAGGGAAAGGGAGAGAAAGGGACAGAGATGGAGGGAGACGTAAGTTCCTCTACTTTTTTGTTTTTAATCTCTTCA